GGGGTCTTTTGGGGACCATTTGGGGCCATTTGGGGACATTTTGGGGCAAATTTGGGACATTTTGGGACATTTTGGGGCAAATTTGGGACATTTGGGGACATTTTGGGGACATTTTGGGCCATTTTGGGGCCATTTTTGGGCACAAAAGAAACGATTTTGGGGAAAAAATTGGGAATTTTGAAGAAAAAGTTGGAATTTTGGAAAAAATATCCGGAATTAGGGGGGAAAAATGGGATTTTTGGGAAAAAAATTCAAGTTTGGGGGGAAAAAAATTGGAATTTTAGGAAAAATCTTGGAAATTGAGGGAAAAATCCCGGGAATTTTGAGGAAAAAACGGGAATTTGGGGGGAAAAATGGGAATTTTGGGAAAAGTCTGGGGAATTTTGGGGAAAATATTGGGAAATGTGGGAATTTTTGAGAAAAACTTGAATTTGGTGGAAAATTCTGGGGATTTGAGAGAAATTTTGGGAATTTTTGAGGAAATATTGGGAATGTTCGGGAAAAAAAACCCCAATTTTTGGGGGGAAAAATGAGGAATTTGGGGAAAAATATTGGAAAGTTGTAGGAAAATTTTGGAATTCGCTAAAAAATTTGGGAAAATTTTGGGGATTTTTGAGGGAAAATTGGAATTTTGGGGAAATTTGGAGGAATTTTGGGGAAAATCCTGGGAATTTTCTGGAAGATTCTGGGAATTTGGGGGAAAAAATCAGGAAATTTATGGGAAAAAATGGGAATTTTGGGAAAATATTGGAAAATTCTGGGAAAATTCAGGAATTTCTGAGGAAAATTCAGGAATTTTTGAGGAAAAATTGGAATTGGGAAAACTCTGAAGAATTTGGGGGGAAAATTGGGAATTTTACGAGAAAATGTTGGGAATGTTGGGTAAAAAAATCAGATTTTGGGGGTAAAAACGGGAATTTGGGGGAAATCTTGGAAAATTTGGGAATTTTGGGGGAAATTTGGGAGAAAATTTGGGAATTTTTGGAGAAAATTTGGGAATTCTTTGGAATTTAGGGAAAAATTGGAGGAAATTTGGGGATTTTGGGGAATTTGGGGAAAATTCGGGAATTTTGTGGGAAAATTTGGGAATTTTTTGGAATTTGGGGGAAAATTTAGGGGGAATTTGGGAATTTTTGGAGAAAATTTGGGAATTCTTTGGAATTTAGGGAAAAATTGGAGGAAATTTGGGGATTTTGGGGAATTTGGGGGAAATTTGGGGGAAAATTTGGGAATTTTGGGGGAAAATTTGGGAATTTTTTGG